TCAGCCTGCCTTTTCATTTTCTTAATTTTCTTTTGATGAACAGAGATTTTTTTTTTTTTTTTTGAGTTGGAGTCTCACTCGGTCGCCCAGACTGGAGTGCAGCGGCCGCTCCTGGCCACCGCAGCCTCGACCTGCTGGGCTCTGGTGATCCTTTCGCCTCAGCCTTCCAAGTAGCCGGAATTACAGGCATGCGCTACCACGCCTGGCTGATTTTTTGATTTATTGTAGAGATGAGGTCTCACTGCCCAGGCGGGTCTCAAACCCGCGGGCTCAGGCAATCCACTCATCTCAGCCTCCCAAAGGCGTGGAATTACAGGCTGAGCCACCGAGCCTGGCTATTTTTTTTTTTTTTTGAGTTGGAGCCTCACTCTGTCTCTCAGGCTGGAGTGCAGTGGCACGCTTATGGCCACCACAGCCTTGGCCTGCTGGGCTCAGGTGATCCTTCTGCCTCAGCCTTCCAAGTAGTTGGAACTACAGGCACATGCCACCTTGCCTGGCTAATTATTATTTTTTATTTATTGTAGAGATGAGGTCTTGCCAAGTTGCTCAGCCTGGTCTCAAACCCACAGGCTCAGGCAATCCTCTCACCTAAGTCTCCCAAAGTGCTGGGATTATAGGTGTGAGCCACTGCATCCAACCCAGAGATGTATTTTGATGGCTCAATATATCAAATTATTCTTTTATGGTTTGTAAAATTAAAAAATAATTTGTCTTAAGAAATCTTTCCTATGTCGAGGTCATAAAAACATTCCTGGCTGAGGTGAGAGGATTGCTTGAGCCCAGGGGTTAAAGACCAACCTGGGTAACACAGTGAGACCTCATCTCTAAGATAAATAAATTAAAAAAAAGAAAAAAAAGATCAGGCACGGTGGCTCACTCCTATAATCCCAGCATTTTGGGAGGCTGAGGTGAGAGGATTGCCTGAGCCCAGGAATTCAAGACCAGGCTGGGCAACTTGGCGAGACCTCATCTCTACAATAAATCAAAAAATTATCTGGGCATGGTGGTATATGCCTGTAGTTCCAGTTTGGAAGGCTGAGGCAGAGGGATCACCTGAGCCCAGCATGTCGAGGCTGCGGTGCCATGAGCGTGCCACTGCACTCCGGCCCAGGTGACAGAGTGAGACTGACTCAAAAAAAAAAAAAATTTAGCTGGGCATGGTTGTGCATACCTATTGTTCCAGATACTTGGAAGGCTGAGGTGGAAGGATCGCCCGAACCCAGCAGGTCGAGGTTGTTGTGGCCCTGAGTGTGCCACTGCACCACACCAGCTTGGGCAAAAGAGTGAGACTCCTACTAAAAAAAAAAAAAAAATTCCGTTTGTTCCATAAGCTTTATGGTTTGAAATTTTTTTCTTTTTGCATCAGTGTCTCTGTCACTCAGGCTGGAGGGCAGTGGCATGCTTACGGCCACACCACAACCTGGACCTCCTGGGTTCTGGGGATCCTTCTACCTCAGCCTTCCAAGTAGCTGGAAATAGAAGCGTGCGTCACCAGAGCCAGCTAATTTTTTTTTTTTTTTGAGTTGGAGTCTCACTCTGTCGCCCAGACTGGAGTGCAGTGGCCGCTCCCGGCCACTGCAGCCTCGACCTGCTGGGCTCCGGCGATTCTTCCGCCTCAGCCTTCGGAGAA